CTAGAATGAACGATTGGTCGACCTGCGGCAAGAGTTGACCTTGGCACCACGCGACCTTAGCATTGACCGAGTTCGCTCGAAGCAGCTGAGCACTTGAGGTCGCGTTCTCGACCTTGACAGTAGTTAGTCACTCTTTCAGTCTGTCTAGCCGGTTCATTCAGCTTTCGAGCTGAGCGTACTCGTACTACTCAAATGACTCAAGAGACAACCGCAAGATGTGTTATAACCAAATGCAACCTAAATGAGAATAAGATCCCGATAACAAGGAGATACTAACAGCTGAAATTGTTCTTTTTCTTCTTCTTTTTAAAATGACTTGGGAGTCTTATTTCTTTTGGCCCAGGCATACAGGCTAAAATTGTTCGGTGCCCAATAACTCACGACAAAAAATCCGTTATTGTGATTTCCCGGACGGCAACTATTTCTACAAATCATATTTTTTCTTATTCAGTTATACAAATCTGCTTCAATTTAAAAAAATATTTAAGAATATTTTAATATTAAGAATACACATATATTTATTTTTGATAAAATTATGCAAAAATATGCGATGTGTCTGATGGTAAAATAAAGAATACTCGTGTGCATGTAAATTGGGTCATTAGATCGTTGGACACTCTGTACATGGTGATAAGAATAAAGGCAAAATATAAAATTTCTGTCCTTGTAATAACAGGATCCGCCATTCGAAAGGCTAACGAATTGGTCATCCGACCATTCAAAGTTCATCTCATGCACGACTCCGACAGCAAGGAAAATACCGATGTAGAAAATATTTTCTGCGTGAGTAATCTGAGACAACAAATTCTTCCTTTTCGACCAGCGAATCCCCCTGACAAGAGAACACCGCGAATCCGAACTCTTTGATTTTGATACACTTTTGTGAGTATGTAGAATAAATCAATACATGAATAACGGTATATTCCATTTGTGAATATTCCATTTCCTATCGCTATTTAAAGGTATGATTTACATTCTCAAAGTAAAAAGAATGATTTCACTTTTTCGTATATTATTCTTAAATTAAAGGAGATAGAAAAAAATTTTTCGAATAAAAGTTTAATGTTAAGTGCTGTAAATTGACATAAACATAAATAAAAAATATCTTTTTTATTGTAAACAAATTTTTTATAGGTATTTTTTTATTTATATTTTTTATTTACCTTTTTTTATTATACTTATGTCAATTTATAGTACTTAACTTACCATTAAACTTTTATTCGAAAAAATTTTTTCTATCCCCTTTAATTTAAGAGTAATACACGAAAAAGTGGAATTGTCCTTTTTACTTTGAGAGTGTAAATCATACCTTTAAATAGCGATAGGAAATAGAATATCCACAAATGGAATATATCGTTATTCATGTATTGATTTACTCTACATACTCACAAAAGTGTATCAAAATTAAGGAGTTTGGATTCACGGTGTTCCCTTGTGAGAGGATCAGCTGATCGATCGTCCAGAGTTCACCTCCCACGAGATTTCAATAATGATCATTCGATGCCTAGATAAAAACTCTGTTCACTCCACAGTTGGATTCATCGTTCGAAAGGTCAGCTGGTCGCTCGGCTGACCATCCGAAGTCCACGTCACGTACGACTCCGATAACAAGGGAATCCTGATTAACAATTTCTTGTGCAATATAATTCGAGATAAAATTTCTCTCAGTGATCGTCCGAGGGGATCACCTGATCGCTCGACTGACTGTCCAAGGTTCATTATACATATGACTTCGATAATAGAAAATAGAAACATTGATTGGCACGCGCGAAATAATCCCAGATAACAATTTCAATCTCGCCTTCAACAATCGCATCCTCGGTCTAGGAGTATCACCCGATCGCTCGAACGATCATCTAAAGTTTACTAATGACGAAACCGATGAGTCTGATAATGAGGAAGTAAGAGCTTTGAAAATTTTGTTCGACACGGAATAATTATAGATAGCAATTCTCTCTTTTAACGACCGCATCCTCAGCCTGGGAGAGTCATCTGATCGCTCGAACGACTATCCAAAGTCCACTAATGACGAAACCAATGAGTCTAATAATGAGGAAATACGAGTTTTGAAAACTTTTTCGGCACGAAGTAATTCCAGATAGCAACGAATCCTCTTTCAACGATCGCACTCTTACATTGAGAAAAAAATACTTGTAAAGAATGCGGCCATATGGGTATTATTCTTCCAATTTAGTTAGGAAAATAAGGAGTTGAAATAAGTATCAAATGAAAAATCTCGTTGAGCTGAAAATAAATAGATAAGTTTCATTTTGCATCGGTTTTCCGTCCCAGAGGATTCCAAAGATTTTACATTTAAAACAGTTTTATTAAATCATGGTAGTCTGATTTTGGTGCAATATATTGTCACGTACAATTGGCATTTTTGAAAATACATATAAATTATTTCTGTACGCTTAAACTAACAGATTTAAATGTTATTTATTGTTTTATATACGAGAAATCAATTGATGATACTTTTATTGCCAAAAACTAACAGAAAGTACAAAAAATCCAATTGGAACACTTGGATTTCCGGTTTTTTGTTGACATTTTGATACGACTTCTTATCCACTGGAAAATAGAAGATACGAATTTTAAACAAAATCTTATATGCCGCAAAACTACATTTTCCTATTTTTAATATTAAAAACTGTTTTAAAAACCGATGCGCGTGAAATGAAACTTATATATTTGTTTTTAGCTCAACAAGATCTTTCATTTGGTATCTATTTCAACCTCTTATTTCCCTAACTGGGATTGAGGAAACATTTAGGCCGCACTCTTTTTTTGTGGGATGTAAAGCTTATTTCGTGAATAAACTTTACGTTTTCACAAGCAAATTTTCAAGTTCTTTTTTTCTCAGTACTGCCCAGGAGGGTCAGCTGATTACATTTAAAGTCCTTTTCGCATATAATCTCAACATAATAAAGAAATAAGGACCAAGAAAGAAGTCTCGTCGCTCTAGATACTTGACTTGCGATGAAAACTTTAACCTTCAATCAGCGTATCTCCGATTCCGGATGAGAATCAGCTGATCGCTCATCCGACCCGAAGTCGTCGCGCAGGCGGCAACGGACAGACGCCGTCGACGGCAACAAACCGTGTCGGCGTCCCGGCGCCGCGCGAGCCTGCGCCTGGACGTCCGACCGGAGGATTCAGCCGGCAGTCGATAGACAACCTTTCGACCAGGACTATCGTCCTGACTGTCCGGATTCTGCGGCTCCTTTGGACATCCACGGTCGTGGGATACAGGCGGGTCCTCAGACTCAGGTAGACATCTCGAAGTATTCGATCGATGGAATCGCGATGTTGCTCTTAGAACCGAACGACCACATCGAGGACACAACGACAACCGTACACCTCAACCGACTGTATTCGTGTATGTATGTATGTATGCGTGTACGCCCCGGTGCGCGTCGGTGTCAGTAACCCTGCCCGCGACCCGAAAACTGTCAATGGCTCTTGACTCCTGAGAGCGTGGAGCTCCAAGTTCGCTCGAAACCGTTCGAATTTACTTTATAGCCGTTAAAACTTGAGATATCTTCGGAGCTGATCGGCCTAACTCCGTTACGTGCCGATCCTTTGACCTATCACTGCTGTGACGCTACATCCTACTTCCTTGTGTTAGGATAGCGGATACGGTTTTTTGCCGTCATTCCGTTAAACAAATCAAGATGGGACCTTGAGACGAGTGAATCGACTATCTGACTTCGACCTCTCGCTCTTCAGTCTCGTGTCTTAAATAGTGTTCGTGTCTTAAACAGCTGGTGATGTCTCAGCTGGTGATGTCTCAGCTACGTCACGATGTCGCGCGCTGGCGCAGGTTTTACAGGTGTCATTTGCCCAGAGAACGACGTTCAATTGCCTGTATCTTCGATCACCGTCGGCTGATCAAATAATTAGCGGACAGGTGAAACGATACGGTGTGTGCTCGGGTGTACGGTCGACGTAATCTGCAGGACTACACAGGTGGCTTTTCTCTCTACGCAGATAACCGGTTTTCAGGTCGTGTCGCGAGGCTACTGGACGTTTACTGATAAACAGCCTTCGTATCACCTCCGATATAGTTAATCACGACACACACACACACACACACACACACATACGCACACGACACGCACACATACATATATATATACATATTGTAAATGCGGGTGACAATACAAAGGTGACTTTCGCGATTTTTATATCGCCGGATAGTCCGGATAACGTTACCTATAGTGAACTCTCGTTCATCGGTATTGATTTTTCTTTTATCGATCGCTCTGTCGTGTCACACCTTCGTCACTGTGCAGTGCGTTCCTTTCGCGAGACGCGAGAACGTCGACAATTACGTTAATTACGTCACAACGCGAGCCACGTTTCAGTAGTATCGGCAGTGCGGATCCACGTGCGAATACAATTATCACCATAACTGCGGCGACGGCGGCCTCGTCACAGATGGCTATTCTGAGCTTATATTCTACTTTAAACTCTCTTTCAACGAATCCCGACCAATAATACCGAGTCTCGCGAAAAAAGAGATAAGAGAAAGAGTGAAGTCGCCACGTTGTGCTTTTTATCTTGTTTTTGTCGTCTGTATTAAAAAAAAAGAAAGAAATCGGATAAAAAGAATTAAAGCCCTATAATTATAACATGTGATATTTATATCTGTAAATGTGATTCAACTGAAAAAACTCTCGTCTAACTTAAAATCTGACAATGAACACTACGACCAGAACGACTTTGACGCACTATTCTATTTTTATATTTTAATTTTTCATGAGAAAAAACACGTATCAGAGGGTCAAAATTAGAAAAAACGCACTTCCATACAATAGATTGATTATATTAACTTACATTGATCTATATTGAAAGTTAATGAATAATAATTAACAATAATGTGTTAAAAACGTTGACGCGTTTGTCAAGGTACATTATAGACCGTGATTGACGAAAACTATTCGCTTTGATTATTTTTATTTGATATTGGACTGACGACAATTATTTGTTGTTGGCAGGCTCTAGGCAAGAATGGCGCCGAATATAACCCGCGCACCGACTGGCGTGCTCTTCGAGGGCGAGACTGTGGCCGAGCCGCAGCCGATTGAGGCGCCGAAGGAGAAACCCAAATACTTCAGACGCATCGTTTGGAGAAACGTGGCGATTTTCGCGTATCTACATATTGCGAGCCTTTACGGGATATACCTCGCGTTCACGTCGGCCAAGTTGGTGACCGTCATTTTCGGTGAGTGGCAAATTGCGAATAACGTCGAGAGAACAAAACGTTACGTACACTCGAAATCACAAGCGGTACGTTTATTCTCGATTTTTCGTCGTATCAACATTTTTTCATCGTCATCGTTAGTTGTAATTTCGAACGATACACTATGGAGAGTTCGTGCCGAGCGTGAAAATATTTAATTTATACAGTCGGAAACACGCGACGGTATGGTGCGTTCAATGTGAAATTACATAACGTAACGTCCGCGAAATGTTAACGAGGAAATTAACGAAATGAAAATTTTATACATAGAAAGCTGATTTTGCGTTGGAGTGTTTACGTTTAATTCCGCGTATTAGTTAGACGGAATTATAAAAGCTTTTACGCACGGAGAAAACTGTTACGGTTGCTACACTCTCTATGGTATTAAAAAAATCTTTGACGAATTTAAATTAAATAGATGTTGTATTAAAAACTGCTGTTGTTATATGTCTCTCTATAGTTTTCTACTTAACAGCCACAGTTCACATGTTACGTAATGTTGAATTAGTATATTCTCATATACAATCGTTTCAACTGAAAGAGTATTGTTGTTTCGCTGTTGCGACTTAAAGAATAAGAATTATGGACCGAGAGATTTGTAGAGTTTGGTTGTGTCATACAGTTGAGTCCCCGTTTTAATAGTTATTGCCTGAAACTCGTCTCAAGTGAGATATTCATTTAAATTCGGAGTTATGAAGTCTGTTCTTTTTTAGCTGAACTGCTTGAACTAATGCAGATTGATGCAATAAGTTATGGTGAAACAAAATATACTTGTCTCACTTTAATCTATTGCATCAGTTCAGACAGTTCAGACCTAAGTGATTTCTATGAGACTTTTAGACGAGACTTTTTCAGTACTTTGTGTTGCGATTACAGATATAAATATTACATGTGTCATTTAATTCAACTGAAAAACTTGGGCCAATAAGTAAAAATCTCAACAAAAATGTTAGTATCTGACATAAAATAGGTTTTAAGTGATTATTAATACAAGACTGAGGTCCGTATTAATAGTCCGTATTCATATTTACTTGAAACTTATTTGTCGAGTGAGATATTCAGATTTGTATTTAAAATCAGTTTCAGTTGAATCGCAATTATAAATATAATTTCACATATATCATATGTGATTTAATTGAAAATGTTAGATCTAAGTCCGAGTTGAAATCTGAATATTTCCACGTGGGACAAGTCTAAAGTAACGACAAGGTAACAATACATACGAAAAAGTAAAAACTGAAAGTACGAACGAGATCCAACCGAAAAGGAAAAAAGAAGCATTTGCATCTCGAGCTATTGGCCAATGTAAATACTTACTTGATGCATTTATATGTATTATCACTCGGCCGTTCATTCACGCTACTTTGCATTCGTTATCGCACGAGCACCGTGTCGAGGCAATCTGCGGCGATGATATTCTCTCGGGTCGATTGTCGTCGTTACGGTTCTGTTTGGTTTCATGCTGACGCGAAGCTCTTAGCGCGAGTAATTAGCAGAACGTCAATCAGAGCCGGCTAAGATTATCAGACGAGCCGACGAGGCTGTCGCAATTGTCCTGACCGTGCAGTCGCGCTTGTTCACGCGAAATTTTCCTATTGGCGATCTGCAATGTGCTGAAATCATCTCGAAACAGGTCTCTTCCGTGATATCAGTTCCGTTTCGGTGATTAGAATGTAGGGTCTCTGGCCGGAAGTGCGGTACCTTAACCACGAGCTCGTGCTAGTCGTTGCCCCGGTCGTGGTCGATGCCCGTGCATAGAACTCGTTCGCGGCTCTACAATGTATAGAACACGATGTAACACACAAAGTGTTATTGCGAGCTTCTCACCCACCGAACTGATCAACGTCCGCTTTTGCAAATCTTTTTGTTTTTAACACTTTCACTTTAACAAGCAAAGAAAATAAGTGAGTGAATAACTCCATTCTTTGCAAATTACTTATTTTTGACATTTTTATTTTAACAAGGAGAGAGAATGAGTGAGTGAGTGAGTGAGTGTATAACTCCATTTCTTGTAAATCGCTTATTTTTGACATTTTGATTTTAACAAGGAAAGAGAATGAATGAGTGAGTGTATAACTCCATTTTTTGCAAGTTGCTTATTTTTAACATTTAAACCGAGAGTGAGAAAGTAAACGAGAGAATGCATAACTCCATTTCTTGCAAATTACTTCTTTTTAATATTCTTATTTTAACTGAGAGAGAAAGCGAGGGAGCGAGCGAGCGAGCGAGTGAATGAGTAGCATTTATTACTGTTCTATAGCAGTCTTATGATAATCGAATTAACAAATTGTATTAAACATTCGACAGTTACATAAAAGAGGTTAGAAATGCATTTATACGGATGTTTATGATTGTAGAAAATTATACGTTATATTATTAATTTTATGAATATTATAAATTTATAAAATTCATAGTTTTCACTTTCAATAGATACGGACATAGATTAGCTTTAAATATAATTAAAATCTTTGGACTACATAGTTTTTCCGGTAGTGTATTGGACTACATAGTATTTCCGGTATAGACTAAAGAAATGAATGCTGACATATATTAGTTTCTGCATTGCGGCATTGAGGCACAACTTGCTAAAGCGAGACTCTGCACACGATGTCTATCCAAATCTGATCTCCTCAGTCAAGTACGTTGATGTTCTTGTCCCCACAATCTTGTACAAGAATCACAGTTGTAAATAAACGCTTCAATTATTTGTATAGAGTCATTGAAGGTATATAGTACCTAATAAAATATATAATGATTTAGCACGCAATGTAGGAGGGATTTATTTTTTCAGAAATTCGAGAGATTTTAGAAACTTTGTTAGAAATTTTAGAGAATAAAGTACTTAAAATGCCAGAACATAATTCACTCTTTTGACCGTCGTGTTCATCTGATCAATCGAGTGTACCAGACTCTGTGATGTCTAAATTAGTAGAAGAGTTAATATACCCTAATCGTTGAGTAACATGTTTACGTTTTCTTTCAAAACATTTATGAGGAACTCACAAATATCGCTTTAATTTCTCTCGCATTAAATTTCAAACGATTCTGTGCAATCCATCATCAGCATTCATTATGAAAATGAGAGCGTATGCTTAATTTTTTTTATTAAGTTACTTATAAAAAATGAAGTTGATCAGTTTTGTTCCTGAAGAATCCTGATCGCGCGCGCGGGTAGCAGAAACTAATTTCACACTATCGTCTTTCGCGAATTTCCGGCTCTCACGCTTGTTATTGTAATGCGAGCACAACAAGCGAACATTGATGTTACGTGCGGTATTACGAAATTTCCGCGAAAATCTGCCCTACCGTTTCCTGGAGAGCTACTCGGGGATAGTGATTCGATGGAAACAAATCATCGCGTTGTGTCCAACGTGGATTGCTTCGCGTGTAACGTCGTGATTTTCTTGATTGCAGCAATCTTGTTGTATCAGTTCAGCGGTTTGGGAATCACAGCCGGCGCTCACAGACTGTGGGCGCACAGATCCTACAAGGCCAAGTGGCCGCTCCAGTTGTTGCTTATGATTATGAACACTATAGCGTTCCAGGTAAGTGATGCGACGCATTTCGCCACTGCCCATCGCGGTGGGTTTCAGATTTCGATTAGCGCGAATATAATCACAAGAAGTACGGTATTTGTCGGGTGACTATCAATTGATTCATGTAAACGTGCCGCTATTGGAACTCCAAAGGCCTTCTCGTATCAAAGATTTCAGTTGACTGCAATTGTAGTATAAAAGTGCGAATGTCTGGACACATGTTCGAATTTTTGAACACTTTTGTCGTTTCGATTTTTAAATAAGGACAAACAAACACAATAATTTGTCAACTTTACGATGCAACAAGAAATTATTAATTTTTCATAAGCTTAATCCGTTTGGAATTATAAGAATGAATAAAAAAGGTAATATTTGGTAATTGTTGACAAAACTTAGACTTCGCGGAAAGCCTTGATCTTGACATATGTTATAGAAGTAATGGTACTTTTCTTAATATTTCAATCGGCAGTCTGGTATTGT